GGCAAAACTAAAAACGTTAAATTTCTTGTGAAATTTCCAAATCACGATTTTCTACATGCAAAAGTCTTACTGTTGATTTTTGTTTGAATCTGATTGATGCCTGAAAGGGGAACATTGAAACTTTCGCATTTCAATTTTAACTTATTTATCAAAGACTGGCTAATTAGATTAGATTGGCTTCCTGAGTCGAGTAAAGCATGACAATTTCCATAAGAATCTTTTATTAAAATAGTTGCGGTAGACAATAATACCTGACTTTCTGAGAAAATACTATACGTGCTTGAATTACTTTCAATTAATTGACATTTTTCGCTCCCGCCACCTATTTCCAATAATTGCTCATTATTCATTTCTGTGCTAGTTACACACATCGTAGCCGTAGGCCTGGTGGTAGATAACATTACCTATCTGCTGCCTTTCTCCGCTACCTGCATTTGCCGTCGGCTCTAGCGCTCCTGAAAACGACGCAGAAGAAGGCCCCGCGCGAGCCCTATCTTCCCCCAATGATGTAAAATTTACAGCTGAAGGCGAACGCTGGAATTGTCGTGCAGCATTGTTGTGCGTTTGTGACTGATTAGAATAATTATTATTTCTTGAATTATCATTATTTTGAGAATATTTGTTTCTAGAATAATTGCTGGAATTTAAAGCATTATTTTGGTTAGAATACGAGTTAGGAGATCGATCTACGTGTAGGCAAGTATTATGCTTGAGGTTGCATTTTTTGCACCCACTTGACATTCATTCTGATTTAATGTGGCCTGACCTGAGACAATTTCCGCAAAGTTTATGATTTCGAATTTTGTTATATTTTTCAGCAATAGACAAACTATTGAATTTCGGGCAATGATAGATAAAATGATTCTGATTGCACACGTGACAATTACTGGCTTCTCTTCCGCGGTTTTCCATTACTGGAAACGAAAATCTACGAGGATTTGACATTTCTCTATTCGTGTTTTTTAAGTGATAACCTCTATCAGAGTTCTTTTCAAAATGCGTGTTTTTATTCGAACATTGTTTTACAAAATCTTGATTTACCGCTTCAAGCGCAAAGCATTTCTTTGTTAAATAGTCTGTTAAATCTGTAAGAGTGGGTAAACTATTGCCATTTTGCTTATTTTCCCATTCCCTACGAGTCCTTTCATCTAACTTTTGCAAAATCAACGGAATCAACAAGGTGTCCCAATGAGCAACTGGCAAATTTAATTTCTCGAGCCCTACTATATGCTGATGAACAGCATCTAAAAGTTTCCTGATATGTGTGGCCGATTCTTTTATAACGTTGGGTAGATTAAACAAAATGTTATTGACGTGGTATTTTATAATAGCTATTTTATTGTCAAAACGTTTTTCCAAGAGATTCAATGCGATAGTATAATTATTGGCTGTTACGTCCAGAGCTTCAATCAATTTAAGCGCCTCATCCTTACAGCAAATTTTCAAGTACAAAAATTTATCGATATCACTCAAATCAGTTCGATTATGTATGACCGAATTAAAAATGTCGCGAAAGCTGTACCAAGTTTCATATTTTCCGTAAAAACTCGGTAAACCTAAATCAGGAAGTCTGGCGACACCAGCACCTGTACTACCAATAACATTCCCGTGTGCGTTTTGTATTGTATTATTCGCGATATTTACTTTTTGTTCATTACGTTCATTTGCAATTAATCGTTTAGCCTGCGATATTAACGAGTAAAATAATGATTCAGTATCCAATCTAAAATCCTTTTCATCATTGTCTAAAAATTCTAAGCGCGTCTGTACCTGGTCAAACTCCGAAAAATCGTCCTCAACGCTTTTAAGCCTGATTTCGAGTTGAAAAATATCAATGGGTTCGTCATTGGTTAAATAGTCTTCGAAGCGTTGAAGCCTATCACAAATTACTGATCTTGCGTGTAAAAATTCTTGAGTTTCAATTGGCATAACATCATCATTATTATTTTTCGAGTTATTTTTCTTATTTCGAGGCATTTTTAATTATTATTATTTATTTATTTTTTATGGCTTTCGATAAAATCAACTTAACAGTTCAATGTTTCGTGTTTCGAGACGAGAAAACGAGAATTTATACGTGAACGAGACCTGAAAAATACGTGAAACGAGACCTGAGAAATACGTGAAACGAGACGTGGTTTAAATTCGAGGCGAGAAATAAATGATAACGAGATTACGTGCTTAATTATTACGTGCAATACAAGATTTACGTGCAATACGAGCTTTATTTACGTGCAATGCGAGATTTACCGCAAAAAAATGGATTAAATCAACAAATAAATCATTATTAATCACACCGAGACTATACAAACTTTCAATTATGATAAGAATCATGGATAACCAACTCTTTTTCTGATTTACATAAATGACCTCATAGATAAAACAGTAAATCCACTTTATTGCTTTGCAGACGATGGCAATGTAGTCTCCTCACTCATACCACCCACAGGTCTTTCCGCACGTGAATTCCATCATCTTAGACTAACTCAAATATCGCAGATAAATAACGACCTGGAGATAATAGAGGACTGGGGTAACAAAAACCTTGTACAGTTCAACGCGCAGAAAACCCAAGCAGCTCTGTTTTCAAAAAAGACCAGCACCGGTGAGCCAAACATCATGCTATCTGGAAGTGCTGTCACATTACAGAGTCAGTTGAACATCTTGGGGGTTACTGCAGAGACCAACATGTCTTGGCACAGTCACGTGGCAGATATTGCTAAAAGGGCCTCCCAAAAGCTGGGGGTGCTATTTCGTACAAGACATCTGTACACATCAAGCCAATTGCTGACACTCTACAAAGCCCAGATTCGACCAACTATGGAGTACTGCTCACATATATGGAGTGCAGCACCCAAACATACCTTAATGCTTTTGAATACCGTGCAAAAACGAGCTATTAAGCTGATCAATGACCCCGCACTTACTCGTAACTTGGATGGTCTCGAACATCGCAGATCTGTGGGCGATTTATCTCTCTTCTACAGGCACTATCACGGAAAATGCTCTGAAGAGTTGGCACGTATGATTCCACCGAGAGTAGCACCTACCAGGCGAACCCGTCAAACAAACGGTAACCATGAATTTACTGTCAAACTAGAGGCACCAAGAACCTCATTATATCAGAATTCATATCTCTGGAGAACAGCATCGCTGTGGAATAAACTCCCTGCGACGGTTTTCCCTGCAGGTTACAACCTGAACCGTTTCAAGACCAACATACACCGACATTTCCGCGCACTTGCCGCTTCTCGATCGTGATAGGACATTTCCTTGCGAGTGCGCATATCCGTAAAAAGAAAAAAAAAAAAAAAAAAAAAAAGTAAAGGAACAAGCTCACCATTAACGGCTTCTTCAGGTTTCCACAGGTTTCCACAGGTTGCAACAATCAACAAATTCACATCCGACCGAAGTGACCAAATGATGCCTCTGCTGAGGACTTTCGAAGGACCACCCTTTATTATAGGTCAAAGGGAACCCAAACACATTAACGAGAATTAATACTTTAATTGATTAACCATTTATTGCGGTACGAAACGAATTTTTAATTGGTAATTAGTAAAACAACAACAACGTGATGTCGTGACATGCTCTCGAATTCGTCTCTTTCTTATTGGTCGCGCCGAGCGATCCTATTGGTCGCTTGCCGCTCTTCCCGCAGCTGTTGCCAGATCCTTTTGAGTTGCTATGTTTATTACGGCGTTGCCATATTTATTTTTGTTGCTATAGTTTTGTATATATAAAAGTCTGATAAAAGAAATTTGATTTGAATGTCCAAATAGATTTGAATGTCCAGACAAGCAACATATAATGATGTTAGGAAGATAATTAACAAAATGAAAAGCAAAGATTATAGAATTACCATAATTTTAATTAAAAAAATTAAAAACTTATTAATTATCCCGCTGACAAACTTAATTAACTACTCAATAACAACTTCTCTAAAAATCTCAAAAATAATCCCAATTCCTAAAAAAAGCAATGTAACTAGTCCAAATGACTTGAGACCAATCGCTATTGTCACTATTCACATAGCAGCAGAATTTTCAGCCTGCAGCGAAAAGTCTTGAGGATTGTTTTGGTCTCAAGTATCGAGAGGATGTTAAAAACACCTCCATTATTAAGAAATTGCTAACATTGCCTTCCTTATTTATATTTTATATTTGGATGTTTAATACATGTTAAAGAAAATTTGGGTGAATACAGCTTAATATCAAAAACACACAATCACCAAATAAGAACTGCTTCGAGTATCAGGTTACCCTTTACCAGGTTGGAGCACTCTAGGTATAGCAAAAACTACTATGCCCCAATGATTTATAATAAATTTCCAAAAGAAATAAGATCCCTGAAATTGAGTGAGTTTGAAACTAGAATTAATGTTTACTTGTGTCAAAACGCTTTTTATGATGTAGAAACGTTTTTAATTAAAAATAACACTGTTTCAGATTTTTGAGTATGTCTTCCTTAGGTTTTGTGTATTTTGTATCGTACATTTATGTTTTCAATTGATTTTGTATAGATTTTCATATTTGTTATTTGAATTTTATATTTGGTATTTGCTATTTGAATTCTATGATTAAATTGAGAATAATGTTCGACGACGCTATATTATGGCAAGGTTATGTAACAACTATTGTACATGTTTTGCAGCCAATAAATATCTATCTATCTATCAATTTGTTTATCGGTTGAGGAATAGTTTCAAAAAAAAAGTCAAAAACCTAGCAGTGGGCCGATTTCTATGAACGCAAGTTTATATAAACTTGATTTTTTCAACATCTTAATTCAAGAAAAAGCAGGAGCATGTCCATGTTCTAATGTCAACATCAAACTCTAAATTTTTTTCACATTTACACCTTTTCTCTTCCCAGAGATTTTTATATTTTTATCATTTTTGTCTTTGTTTCAAGTGACAGAATAACTACTAGAAAAAATGCAAAACAAAATGAATGACTGCTAACACAAATTAATCTGAAGTTGAAAAAAAAAAGACTTACCAAGAGTGGATGGAGGCTGAGTCGTGGGTGGTTTTGGTCGCATAACCATGAATTTTGACGCATCTGGAAAACGTACTAGTTTTCCGATTCCGCTCAATGAAGACGGTACAACAGTCATAGTTTTATTAGGTCCTGGTGAAGTCATTTGTACGGTTAGCTGCTTGCCCCCAATCATCACTTGCCTCTATACATATTTAAAATTTAGAATAAAAACTAATTTTCAAAAAGTTAGACTACAATTAATAATAACAAATTGGTAACAATTTCAAGACCCCAGATAAGTTTTTGATTTCTTATAGCTTCGAGAAACCATATTGTAAAGGGAAAGTGTATTAGAAATGACAGCGGTGTATTGGTAAATTTGTGCTAAAAAAAATCTTTCAACAATTAGTGAGTAAAACAAATAAAAATAACAGAGCTCTATCTGCAGTCTAAAAGAACTTTTAATTAATTTAATTTATTACCCTCAAAATTTCAAAAATTGAGTACAGTAACTAAGACTTTAACTATGTATTTATTTCCACCACAATCCCTTGTTTCAAATTGACGTTTTTTTTTTTTTAATAATCAAGTACAAAAATAGAAAAAAACCACATCAACAAACAACTTACCGTATTTTTGGAAAGCATGAGTGTTTTAGGACTTCCAGTAAGGGATTTGCCAAGTTGAACACCCTGGAAGTTATGAATTGTAGAAGCAGCGACAGGATGTGTGTTCACTGCATTTGTTTTAACTGCTGACATTACTGTTTGGGCGTTTGTGAATGTTTGCATATTTTTCAGGTTTCCTGTTGAACTGACGACCAGTACTTGTTGGTTACCAATAGATGAAACTGGCCCAGTTGTTCCTTTAGATAGAACCAATTTGCCAGTAGCTTTATTCATCTGTAGCATATTTGAAGGGATTGTTTTAATAGTAGTTAAAACTTCCGGTAACAATGTCACCTTGGGCACAATTTTTACAATGGTATTTTTATTTGGGGATTGTGTAACTTGTGCAGCAGGTTTGCTTTGGACAACATTACCACCTTTCAGTAAAGAGGCTAAAGTCATGCCAGTGCTAGTTTTAACAAGTGTCACAAGCTGTTGTGGCAAACCACCTGGTTTCTGGATAAGGTTGGTACCCTGCTTTTGGATGAGGCTGGTTCCCTTCTTTTGGATAAAGTTGGTACCAGCTTTATGGATAAGGTTGGTACCTTGTTTATGAATAAGGTTGGTACCCTGTTTGTGGATGATGTTTGTACCCTGTTTATGGATAAGGTTGGCACCCTGTTTATTGATGAGGTTGGTACCCTGCTTATGGATGAGATTGGAACCCTGTTGTACAAAGACCTGTTGACCTTGAGGTGTAGTTGTTTTTTTAATTAATGTTGGCCCTTGACCAGTAACAGCGTTATGTATTTTGATACTGGCTGGTTGAGTTTGAGCCACCGTCATTTTCTGTGTGGCTGCGGCGGCAGCGGCTAGAGCTTGAATACCAGACATTTGTGTTGCAGTAGTTTGATTTTGAGGCACGACTTTGACTGTAGAAACTTGAATTGTATTGGAAGAAACAGGTGTTGCAATAATTGTAGTGTTAACTGCTGGTTGAGCAGCTACTGCAGATTGGACAGTTACTGCTGGTGGATTAGCTACTGCTGATTGGCGAGAAACTGTTGCTTGGACAGCTATCGCTGGTTGGCGAGATACTGTTGGTTGGGTGGCAACTGCTGGTTGGACACTTACTGCTGGCCGGACAGCTACTGCTGGTTGAACACCTACAACTGATTGGTTAGCTACAGCTTGATGGGTAGCTGTAACTGTCTGCGATGCGGCAACTCTAGGAGAAGGTAGAACAACTGGTTGGAGAGCAGTGTTCTGTGGGCTTGTTACCACAAAAGGTTTTATAGGAGTACAAGGCTTTACTTGTACTTTAGCTTGAGACACAGCCGTTACTAAAGTTTTCGTTGGAGACGAACTATTAGATACATTGCTTGATAGTGATTGTGAAGTTTTTGGAGCACTAGAATAATTATGGAAATTATTCGTTAAAGCAGATTTGGTACAATTTGCTTGTGAGGGACTTGGTGTCGGTATGTCAATTTTTTGAACTTGCAAAACGTATATTTGGACTGATGTTACACCTGACCAATTAACTTCCAATGAATGAGTACCTGCTTTGATCAAAGACACTCGGCTAGGAGCAGGAGGCTTATCTACTTCAAGATACCACAAGTCTTTACAACAAACTTGATTTTTCCATGCTTTTCTATACCCATCGCGACCAGACCAGACATATAATCTAGTGTTTATACCAACAGCACAATGACCAGCCCTAGCACAAGGTTCACTGAATTCGCTTTCACTAGATATATTTACAGAATCCCAACTCATTGTCTGTAAATTAAGGCACCCCATCGTGTTTGTGCATTTCCATTCCTTCTCATTCGCGGACAACTTGTTATCACTGACAATTACTGGAACCCAACCTCCAAAGATGAACATCCGGTCATTTATCAGTGTTGATGTGTGAAGAGATCTGAAATATATTTTAAATTTGTAACTATTATTGTATAGTTAAGAAACCTAATTATTGTGAATATGGAACAAATAATTTATTATATCCAAAAAGGGTTAAGTTGACAGGCAATTGGGCATTCCAACGACATGTCACAACTATTCAAAAATGATGCGGGGGGCAGAAGTTAATTATTCCGTATATGAGAGTACAGAATTTAAGCTTTTTAAAATGCATTGTGTGGTTGTTTTGTGACTGAACTCTATTACATTCAGCTTTTGCAGTGCATTCCTCCCCAAACCAAAATGCCATAGCAAAAGAGAGTTGTAAATTAATAATAGTAATTTTTTTGAAAGAAAATGACGCATCTGATAAAATCGGTAGCTAAGCCTTCTCATTCTTTTTGTAAGATAATTAACATGACTCGTCCATTTCAAATTCCTATCTTAAATTACGCCCAAGTAAGGTATCTATGTCTTGAATTTACAGTGTGTTAGTTCGAGGGCCAGATATTTTGCATTCGCCGATGACACCGTATTAGTCTATACAGGTACCCAAATGCAACCTTTGATTGAAATGGTTAAAGATAATAATATACGCATCAAAAGTAATAACTGTACGTTGGATAGGGTTGCGAGGGTAATGTATCTGGGCTTGATACTTGATGACAAACTGAACTGGAGGGATCATGTTGTTGGCCTCGATGAAAGAGTTATTGCCATGATTCCATATATATTTAGGATTAGAAATTATATTACGGATAGAACTAAGTGTTGATATCTGAACGTGGCAAATTAGCAGCCAGATGCTCGTATACAGAAGCGAAATACTTAGTTCACAAACAGATCTACCCAATATATAAATCATAGAGCCCTTGCATCAGTGTTTTCATTGCTGATTTCGTTAGTCAATGAAAAATAAGTCAACACGTGTTTTTTCTTTTTTTTGTTAGTCAAACATTGACAGAGATACAAAACTTTGTTGATGTGCTTTTGACGTCATAGCGTATAATACTTTATGACGTCGCACATGCTCAGTATATCTATAATGTACAAAACTTAATATTTGTATAACTTTCAGAATAATCGTATTTGGACAAAATAAAAAAACACGCATCGATTTTTTTTCGATTTCCTACACTTTGCAATAAACAATAATCAATTTAATTTTTTATGCAAGTATCCTATTGGAGCTCGTCCAAACGATGATCATCATTTACACAAGACCCTTGGGAGTAAACTTTTGGGGAGACCTGCCTGTTGTTCCTCTTGGTGCAAGAATAGTGTGAGTCGAGAATATTGCTATGCGAATATTCTCGAACATTAGGAAATTTCTGAGATGGAAACGTTCTACTGAATGTGAATATTACCCGAAACTTTCAACTTTGAAGAATATTTCCAAGAAATTTCTGGGAGAATTTTATAAAAATGCGAAATTATTGAAAAAAGAAGGTCTCGGTTACGTCATTTCAAATTTATGTGGATGATGTAGCCCTGTCCTCACACGGCCATAAAAGTATTTTTCCTAGTTTTATTTTTAGCTGATATTTAAGTGTTTTTCTCGGTGTTTTTATTGGTTTACAGTCTATAGCCAGTACACTTCAATAATAAATAAAGCTTACAATGATTTGTTTGATAAAAATAGACGCTTTTATCGTTATTTCCAATATCACAATTACAATAACAGGAAGCTGAAGTTTGGTATGAAGCTATCCTACTTAAACAATAGGTAAGACCATATGGGATAAAATTATCCATTGAACTTAATTTCCTTTTATTGCAATGAAAATTTAATGATTCAACTTATGTCTCTCTAGGTCCAGCTATAAACATATTATAAATTTATATCCAAGTTTACTTATGATAGTTTTCTCAAATTTTATAATCTACTATCAAATCAATTGTTCAAATTAAATTCAAAACAAGCTTTATTGTCAAAGAATTAAAAAAAACTTATTGACGAAGCATTTCTATATACTAAAATCAATAGTGTAGGTGCCCAGCGACATAAAGTTGCATTTATGAATACTCTCATGGAAAGTTTTGTGTGGCTAAATTGCGCCTAGTCTACCACCTTTTTCCTTTATGAAAACTTTCGTAGTGGGGGCTTTTCTTTTCTAGTTTTTCCGAAAGCCGACCATTTCGCATGGTGCAAAAAATTTATGGATATCGTTTTTATTTTTAGTGAAATCGCGAGACAAATTCATGAATAACGTGGAAAAAAATGTGTCCGACAAAAATGTTGGACCGTTAAGGGTGTCTACCAACTTAAACATATCCAATAGACGAGTTAAAAAAAAATTCGGATAACGAGCTGATTTTTTCAGGATGACTTAATAAAGATATGTAGAATATAAATATCCAAGTGTCCGACATAGTAGATTTTCCGATTTTCCAGTCCGACGCGAGAAAATTATCGGTTTCACGAAGCCAAAAAATTAATGAATAACTGTCGGACAAAAAAAGAATCATGTATGTAAGAGAAGTAGTCGACATGTAATATAAGTGTCCGACAAATATATCGCGACCAATTTGCTGTCCGAAAAAAAACATCAATTATAAACCTACCATACAGGACTATAAGTCACCCCCTTGAGTATATACCCAACAACATATAACTAAGTATATAGTTAGGCATTCTACTTATCAATAATTATTCCATTTTTATTTTAATTTTGTTAACCAGTTGTGAAGATAAATTAAAAATTATGTTTTGGCGGTTCTGAAATGTAATTTTTGTCAGAATTAAATACCTACTTCACTAAATTCTGTTAAGACTGACGACCGACGCGATTTTTAATATATCGGTACATCGACTAATTAATACACACTCTTGTATACACATAATGCAGCCGCTAAAGCAAGCATAGTTTAATAACTATACAACCACAAGTAGCATGGGTAAACAATCCTGGTAGTGACTACACAACCAGTATTATAATAGCTATACAACAACTTCAATAAGAGTCATACAACTATTTATATATTGGGGCTATTGGGCATTCTGCAACTTAAAAATACTATACAACCACTTGCATAATGGCTACTCACTTGTAGAATGACTATACAACCACTTGTACATTGGGTATGTAAATTCTGATTCAATAACTACTATCTTCTGTATAATCTCGATACAATTTCTTATATAGTTGCAATAAAGCAATTAATATTGATGGGTATATAAAAAAGTGTAGAAAAACGCGTTTTATACTAGTAATACTACTGCTTGTCTGTCCCACATAGTATACAGAATTTAAACTGATGCAATACAATTTCCGTATATTAGTTAATTTTTTTCTCTCAGTGCAAATGCGAGATCTGGCGTCCTAGACTTATTTTATTTCACCATTTTTGAGCTTTTTTGCCTCTGAGGATGAGGATCTATATCCTCGAAACATGTAGGGTATGATATATAATGTGGAGGAAGACTTCGTGCCTTTTCTTTCCTTTGAATTAAATTTAAACTCCACATAGAGATGGACTACCTCTTCAATTTAATACCCACTATTTTACTTACTCATCATCAACATCCATATGTGTTTAGAAGTGGAAGTATTAGACGATTGTGGTACACCCGTTGCCTATACATTCTCAGATGAAAAAGACATTTCATCAATTCATGCTGAATTTTGTGTTGAAACATCGAATGAACTTGAAGAAAAAACTTTTCATTGCAAGTTAAACGAAGAATACAACACTACTGTTCTATGCAGTGTTAATGCAAGTTAAAAAAAAAAAAGCACAAGTATAACTTTTTATTACGCGGCGGAATCAAAATAGCCCACACCCCTGTATGATTTTTTTTATAGAATCCTGATATATGTAAAAAATTAAATAAAATATACGTGTTCAACCGTTTTTCCGAAAAACTGACCGTTTTAAAAGAAAAAAAAATCCCAAAATATGTAAAATCGTGTTTAACCGTTTTTCCCAAAAACTAACGGCTTTTCATAAGTATCTATGCATGGAAAATGTTATCAGTAGTAATATAACAAGTGCAATGAAAATTATCGATAATTTTTGGGAAATTCGCCCGAATGCATTTTTAGTTGAAAACGCATGAGTGCACATTTTTCAAAAATTATAGATATATTTTCATTGCACGAGTTATATTTTATAAGAAAATTTCCTGAATCATTATACCTGTTCTCAGTATTTCACTAAGGTCCTTGTTCAAAACAATCTATGCTATGTTGTCAATCAACAAATTTGTCAGAAGTTTCATTAAAAAAATAATTTCGAATTTGTAAATAAATATGGCTCATTTTGGGAAGAGTTCAGCGACTGATATTGATAAAAGTATTGAGGAAAACCACCTAAATAAAATATTATTTCTTCAAATCCCAACTTTTTAAAACAACTTTTACGTAATAAAAGTAAATATTGCAACCATGTACTGCGTTACAGAGTTTAGGTTTAAGGGACAACGAAGTTATCGAAACCGAAGCGAAGGGTAGAAGAGAATAGGCAACTAGACGCTAGACTACAGAACGAGCGGTACTAGTCCCTTAGAAAACGTGTCGAGCGTCTGTAATTATTGATTATTCAATTTTCATTCCTATTTTGCATTAAAATTAATTGTTCAATCAAATTTGTTATTAGTGTGTGTGCAAGGAACGTACAGGTTAGTGGATTAATTATTATTTTGTTTTTGAGAGTTCAATTTATGCAAGTTCCTATTATTTTGTTCATTTTTATGCATTTTTGTTTGTTTATAACATTTTTTATAACATGTGCATTGTTTATGTATTTAACCAAAATCGTTTCATACTGTAAACAACACAGATAGAGAAGTAAATTAAAACCTAAGAAATTATGTGCTGTCTTTTTGTGCTGGGATTTTGATTTTGTGGATTCAGAGCGTGCATTAGAGCTTTGTTGAATTTACTAACATTTTCCTACCCTGACGAGAGAATATCCTAGCAAATTGAGAAAAATCAATCTAGAGATATTGGCTCAAAAACAACTATAGCCGTGACTTTACGTAACCAGGGAGCTCGGTACCCGCCACAGATGGGCTAA